AGACGAGGGCAAATAGTGATCGTCCGCAGCGCCCGTCGCTAGCTCTCTCACCTATAGAGTAGTGCTTTGGCAGCTCGGCTCGCTGCGGTCATCGCCGCAAGGCGTGAGCTCGGGTCGGGGTGATGCTTAATTTTGTTATAGATGTGAGACGCTAACGTGATGCGCTCGATCGTCGAGCGCAACGAAAGCGGATTCTGATTCTCGGGCGGGTACGCAGCTGCGGGCCCAAGGCCCCAGGCAGCGAGCGTCGAGCGGAGGGGGGGAGGACCAGGGGACCAGAGGAGGCTCGAAGAGCGAAAGGCCGGTGAGGTAGTGGGGAGATGAATCTGGCTAGCTCCCGCACCCGAAAACGCATGGTTTTGGGGCGAGCACGTGCATACGGCCAGTGGTAGTCCAGCCACTGCTGAGTATCTTAAATGTGGCCCAACGCCAGCTGGGGGCGCATCGTTTTGAGTGATTCCGTGAGTGCTGACCGGCGCTTTTGTAGCTCTCCTGGCGTCGACGGCGCCTGGAAGCCCCAGGCCAAGATGCGCTTGAGCAAGGTGACTGCAGACGGCGACGCCGAAGCTTGCTCTGCAAGCTTGCGTGCAAACGTGCGCTGGCATTTCGGGCGACGCGGCGGGGCAGCAGCTGCGGCCTCGCGCAGTTCGAGGCGGGCGGCGCGCAAAGCGGCTGAGACAGCTTGGCGGGCGAATGGCTTCTGAGGCCGGGCACCGATGAGGGAGCGATCGTGTTGTACAAGGGGCTGCTGAGACGACCAGAAGGCGGGCGACCACGCGCCAGCCTGCTAGCGGGGCGCGTTGTGAAAGGGGGGCTTCCTCCCATGGTGTGTCGGCGAGGCGATCGGCAAACAGCTCCAAGTCTCCCGCGAGAGTGACGGCAGCAAAGCGGGCAGCGGCAGCAACATATGTGACCTGAGCGGACTGTGGGACAGGTGGCGGGCCCCACCGCGCCATGGCAATGAAAACAGCCTTGCGCAATGAATTCGGCGGCAGGCTAAGCATCTATCTCACGGAAAACATGCTGTTCAAGGAGGGCGATCAACGGCTGAAGCGGAAATAACCAGGCGACATAGCTGAGCGTGGACAGGACTGAGGTATTATAAAGACGAGCTGAGGCGTCACTGCCACCCTGCACTATTTGTAGAAGATGTTCCCCTTTGCCACCATTTTTGCCCTGGTGCGAGCCACTGCGAAGCCAGCGAGGCCTCGGGGCCGAGGAGCGCGCCGAGGTAGTTGGCGCAACCCGCAACCGAGAAACCACCCCAAGGGGGACCGAGTTCGGCCAAGAGGGATCTGGTTTGGGCAATGGTGTCTGGGGTCGCCGCGGCCCAGAGCGGAACGATGAAACATTTGCGAGGTTTGAGCGAGAGGAGCGCAAGCTCCTCGGCTGCGGCAAGGGGCTCAGATGCGCGGCGCAGCGCGTCGAAGGAGTATGTCAGCAGCCCGATGTCGTCCGCGCAGGCGCCGAGGTAGCCGGCGTCCAGATTCGGCGTGTCGTCGTGGTGCTCCACAAACGTGGCGAGGTGGCGGATGAGCGGGCTTGGATTGAAGAGCTCCAGGGGGTAGTCCTGCTCGCCGCATCTCAGAGTCGAAGCGAACAACGTGCTTGGTGAAGTTGCGCTTCTGCACGAAGCCCTGTTGTGCTATGTGGGTGCGCTCTGCCGCAGCGCCCTTGATGAGGTAGTTGGCTGCCCCAGCGATGGCCTTTATGCCAGTGTTATGTAGCGAGAGCGGTCGGGTATCTTCGGGGGCTCGGTCTGTCGCGAGTTCGCCAACAGCGTTGTCGCCCTTCGGCAGGAAGGTGAAGTCGGAATCATTCAAGTCGCGGGTGCAGTACTGGCCAGAGCAGAGGAAGAAGGACACGCCCTCCAGGAGGGCGAGCGAGGCGTCGTGCGCGAGCCAGGCGGAGCACGGCAAGCAGTCGGGGCCTGCTGCTGACGGCGAAGTGCGCTGCAGGAAGGCCATGATCTGCGGCTTCGCGGGGGCCCCAATGCCCGGGGTCTCGCCCTTCGGCGCGCGCGTGTGGATGCTGTTGGTGACCTTGGTCTCGTCGACAGGCTTGGCGGCGAAGACGGGCTGCCAGTGGTCGCGCAGGTTGGTGACCATCGAGCCACTCTCTCTCGTTATCTTGGGGCCGCTTGGGCCCGCGACCTTGATTCCCTGAAGGGTGAGACGGCGCTTCCAGGGGGGCCATGGGAGAGCCCGGCGCTGCGCGGCCCGAAGGACCTTACGGAGTTTCCCAGGAGCCAGGGCGCCAGCGCGCCCCAGAGGGCGCTGCGCGGCTTGCTGCGCGAGGGGGAGTTGCCGCGCCTCGAAGTCGCGGTTCAGCTGCGAAGCGAAGCCGGCGAAGACGGCAGGCTCGTTGATCGCGGCGATGCCTTCGGACACGTTGACGAACTTGGCGCCGAATTCTGTCGCGGAGGCAACTCTGCGGGCCAGCTGCAGGTCTTGGCGCCGAACGGCTCGCGAGATGGAGCGCATCGCGTAGACCCTGCCGGCCGGGAAGCCTGTCTCGTTGGCGTCGCCAGTAGCACAGCGGACCCAATCGTCGCGAACCAGCTTGGCGGCCTCCGTCATGTGGCGCTCGTGGGTGCGCCATCGGCTGTCCAGCGACACGCATTCGAAGTTGGCGGCGTCCAGGAGCTTCTGGGAGCAGAGGGCGTAAGTCGGATTGCGAAGGATCGAGGGGTGGATGGCCTGCTCGACCTTCGGGGTGCGCGGCTTGATGCCGATGGATAAAATGATGATAGCGTGGTCGCTCAGGCGATTGCCCGAGAGCAACGCGGCGAAGTGCACCGCGTTCGCGTGGATCGAGAGCTCCTGGGTGGCGTGCGAGGGCAGGATGATGAAGATGCGGTCGATGGTCGTGGCTGTGAAGTCCGAGCGGTTGAAGCGCGCGGGGGGGGCTCGGTCTCGATCTCAAGCATGGAGTCGAAGAGCGACTTCCAGAAGGGCTGCTGCTGGCTCATGCTGCTGCCCAGCGCATGCCTGGCGCGCTGCGGCTGCGGCTGCAGGAAGCTCTGCGGCGGGCGGCTGGCTGCGTTGAAGTCCCCGATCGCGGTGAAGGTGCGCATGCGGTTGTTAGCTTCCGCCCATGTGCGACGCGTCGCCCAGGCCTGCTGGACCTTGCAGCGGTCGGCATCGGCGATCTCGTGAATATGCGCATTCAGAAGGACCACGGTGGCGCGCGCGACGGCGCGCGTGACGGCCGCCGGCTGGGCGCGACCAGGAACGAGTTCTTCATGAGCGAATAGCGGGAGCTGGTTCGGCTGCAGCTGCTCGAGCTTCATCGGGGCGAACCAGGGGGTGAGCGTGGCGACGCCGCCCGTGGCATTCGGATCGTCGCCATCGGCGTGCGAGAACTCAGAGAAGAAGAACTTGCATGGGGCACGGCTGCGCGTCGACCCAGGTGCGGAGCAGAGCCTCCGAGCCGTGGACCTCCTGCAGTGCGATGACACACTTGCGCTTCATGTGCTTCGCTGGGGCGGCCCGCTCGCGACGGCGGCGCTTGCCATTGTAGCGCATGAGGGCTCTGGCGTTCCACGTGGCGATAATGGTCCTCGGCGACGTCGTCAACCCTCCACGGAGCCCAATGATGGTTAGGAGCTCCACGTGGCCGTCTCCGTGTCAGCAAAGAGCGCCTGGAAGGATGCGATGAAGCCGCCGCGATCGATGTGCTGGAACTGCGGGTGGTCGGCGGCCTGGTGGTTCCACTGGATAATGGGCGGATCGGCTTGACCTCTGACCAGAGTTTTGACAGTGGGCATTGAGTCAGCGTGTATTTCGCCTTTGCTCCTGAACGCTCTCCATCTCCTTCTTGGCCATCGCTGCTGCGTAAGATGGAGTAGTTTCTTTGTTTGAACTTCGGTACGGATCTGCTTGGGCGGCTTGTCGGGTTGAGGTATATGTCGCAGTGCTGCCCAGTGACGTCTGTCGATAAACATCTGTGCCACTTCCCAGCGGCGCCTCGGAGGGCACGTGATAAGGCAAGGGCGCGAGGCACTGCAACAGCTGTATCTCCTTTGACTTGTAGAATGAAGCGGCGAGAAGGTTCGTCACCGAGAAGTTCGACATGGCTTGACTGTAATTGGCAGCGGCGATCCACTCCTGGAAGTCGTTGAGCAGCAAGTCTAGCGCGATGAGGCGCTGGCTGCCGATTGCGGAGAGCGTCGGGTCGGGCTGTCGGTCCCACTCGGCCAGGCGGTTGAGGTCAGTGATCGGCGTCTGGGCTTCGGCGAGGGCGAGCGCGTCGCGCATCTGGTCGATCTGTTGCCACATGCGTTGATGGTCAGCAGCTTGGCGGTCTCGTTCTCTGCGAGTGCGGGCAACTTCGTCGTGTAGAGCGTCAACTCTGCGTTCGGTAGCGAACATTTGTTGTTGCACGAGATGTCTGAAGCTTTCACAAGAATCGGCGAGTGGCTGGCCGGCTTGAGCTTGAAAACGAGTAGCGGTTACGGCGACTTGACGTTGCATAAGTTCACAAAGGGCGACGTCAAGACTTTCAGGTATTGCGGTTCATGTCGCTCAGGAGGTGTAGGATGCTGCTCTGGAGGAGGTGCGGCGTGTCCATGAGCTGGTGCAGCTTGTGCAGCGGCTGCGGTGGCAACTTCTTGAGATGGGAATGTAGGAGCCAGCTCGATGTCGCGCGCGAGCTGTGAGCCGAGGCTACAGTTGGCCCAGGGGTCGGCGGCGCCCAGGAGCGGGTCAGCAGGAGGAGGACCATGCGGTGGCAGATCTTCATTTTCCATGGCCACTGGGGTGGCTTCGGCAGCGGCACGGCCTCCAGATCTGGCTGAGGATCGCGCTGAGGTGGGCGGAGGTCTCGCAGCGCTTCGGCCAGAAGCACGTGAGGGAACACCCGCGTGGCCTTGGCTGCTGGAGCCCGTGTGGCCGAGCTGTCCGAGATGTTCGCGAGCTGCACGTCTACCATCTCGGCGAGGCTCTTCACGGCGGGGCTGGCGGTCGACACCACGTTCGGGGCGGCGAGGCTCGTCGCGGCGATGTTGGCGGTCTTCGCGTCTGCTGCGGGACGTGGATCCGTTCGATGCGGACTGACTTCGGTCAGATGAGGCGGCCGACAAGATGTCGAAATAGCTGGTCGTAGCGGGAGCGGGAGCTGGAAGCCAAACCCCTGCAGAGATTCTTGTCCAGAACGTGGCGGCTGTGGCACAGGTCCAGGAGGCGGTAGCTGAACGTGGCAGCCTGGCTCGCGAGCCAGTGTAATGAAGATCTCCGTGCAGCACAGCGCGGCGAAGGACAGCAGCATGCCCAGCGAGGGAGCGAATATGGCTGGGCGGCCGCTAGCCGCTAGCCCGTGATTGTGGCGGCAATATGGAAGGGCGGCCGCTAGCTCGAGATAGTGGCGGCAAACGACTGGATGCTGGATCGCTCGGGAGCCTACCCCGCGAAGGCAGTGAATGGAACGAAATTTGGCCTTGAGCCAACATGGCTACGGAAGGAGGAGGAGGAGGAGGAGGAGGAGGAGGAGGAGGAGAAGGAGGAGGAGGAGGAGGAGGAGGAGGGAGGAGGGAGGAGGGAGGAGGGAAGAGGGAGGAAGGTTGGAGTGGTTTGGTGGCTGGTGATCTCCACTGTACGCTGATGCCGCGCTGTGCTCCTCGAGACATCCGAGAGCGTGTCGTCGCGAGCGTCGCATCGGGCCGCCCGAGGCCGGATCGGCCGGCTCGGCGGATCGGGAAACCGCATCGGCTCGACACGGCGGATCTCGGAAACCCTGAGCCCGAACGCGTCTTCATCTCTGGGAAGCGATGTTTTACGTCCGCCGCCCTCCCGCCGGCCTTCCGCCGGCTTCCGCCGGCGGAGGCGGCCTCGTCTCACTGCCGCCGCCCTCCCGCCGCCTTCCGCGGCGGAAGAGGCGGCAGCTCCTTCGACCCTCGAGGGGGGCAGGGCCCTTCTCCTGCAGCGCCTCGCGTGCTTCTCTTTGGCTCGCGCAGTACTCCCATGGAGAGGGGGGGGAGCAGGGGAGGGGCAGGGAGCACGCGAGCCACCGCACCCTGCTCCAACCGCCTGCGTCCGAGCGCAGGCCGCCTCGCCCCGCCTGCCAGGCCCGATGCCAACAAAAAGAACACCCTGGCCGCGGGCACCGAGGCAAACGCCCGCGCCACGGAAGCAGTGCAGGAACGGCGTCACGAGAAGGGGGGAGGAGGCAGGAGGTGGAGGGAGGAGGAACACAGGAGGGCGGCGCGAGAGACCAAATGTCGAGAGGATCGGTTCGACATGTGCGCCGGATCGGGCCGCATCTGCACGGAATCGAAATGGAGCCGGTTCGGCTAATTACACGAAGATGAGCAGCAGCGCTCGGAAAACGTCGGGCCGCATCGGACCGTCGAAGTATCGGAATCGAATCCGATCGGTCCGGCCGAAATCAATATCGAATCGGATCGAAACGCACTGCACCCCGGGGAGGGGACCGCCAGACGAGGGGTGGAGGAGCCGCGCCAGGAGGCCTGGAGCCTGGAGAGTGGGGCGATACGAGTCGAGCCCAAGGCGAAGTGTACGGCCAAAACTGGGGAACTCCCCTTACGAACGGGGGCCACGAGCTCCGCCCGCCCGCCCGGCGCCGACGCGGAGCTCGCAACGCCTGCCAGGACGCCAAGCGCGCACCTCTTCGCGACTTTGCGCGGAGCGCCCGCGGCCGAGGCTCCGGGAGGAGGCCCGCGGCGGGACGATCTGGCGGGGACAGGCGGCCTCCTCCTCCTCCTCCTCCTCCTCCTCCTCCTCCTCCTCCTCCTCCTCCCCTCGTCCTCCTCCTCGTCCCTCCTCCGCGTCCAGGCAGCACGTCACACGCGGCCTCGGCGGCACCGTCAATGCTGCTGGCGGCCTGCCACTGGCAGTGCGTGCCGGCGCCTGCGGCGCGGGGGGCGAACGAAGCTCACTCCGCGGTGCCGTTGGTGGCGTCATCAGCCTCCGAGCCGGCACTGTCGGTCGGGCCCGCCGTGCCCGCCGTGCCCGGCACGACGCAGATGCCAGTGTTCTGATCCGTACACACGGTGCCGGGAGCGCAGGCGACGGGACCACAGAGCGACGAGCCAGGGGCGAAGCAGAGGCCCGAGCTCGGGTTGCACACGCTGCCCGCCCCGCAGGCGAGGACGCCCCCAGTGACCGGGGACAGGCAGCAGGTGCTGCCCGGGGCGGCGCCGATCCCGTTGCCATGGGCGTCCTTGCAGCACGTCCAGCTCTCCGCGATGAAGATGGCGCCGCACAGCTGCTGGTTGTCCGTCGTGCCCGGCGTGACGCAGACGCCGTCCGCGACGCACTGGGTGCCGGGAGCGCAGGCGACGGGACCACAGAGCGACGAGCCAGGGGCGAAGCAGAGGCCCGAGCTCGGGTTGCACACGCTGCCCGCCCCGCAGGCGAGGACGCCCCCGGTGACCGGGGACCGGCAGCAGATGCTGCCCGGGGCGGCGCCGATCCCGTTGCCATGGGCGTCCTTGCAGCACGTCCAGCTGTCTGCTATGTAGATGACGCCGCACTTCTGCGACGCCGCGTCGCTCACGGCACCGCTGGTGCTGTTGGCGGCCTGCGCGTGGCCGCCCGCGCCCGCCGCGGACGAGCGGCGAGCAGCGGAGCGGCGGGCGGCGGACTCGGCCTGCAGCAGCGCCGCCTCGTCCTCCCGCTCCTCGGCCTTGCAGTCGGCGTCGGCGGTGGCGCATGGCTGGCACAGCAGCGCCAGGGCGAAGAGCGCGATCGACGCAGCCCTGGAGGAGGCCGCCATCGTCGTTTCTCCGTCGCGGGGTGCCCGTGTGCGGGGGCGTGGGGCCTGCTCTCCTCGAGGAGTCTTGGCTCGAAGCACGAAGCCCTGGAGCCCAGACGGCTACAGCCGGCCCGTATCATGAGGATGCGCGATGAGGATCCTGCACCCCCTCGCGTCGTGACAAAATCGCGACGGGAGGTTTTTCGCTATTTTCTGCCTCTGAGGGCCCTTACTGGGCCTCGGGACGGTCAGAAAACGATTCGGGACGCAAAACCAGTCCCAGAGGATGGGTCGGGACCTCTGGGGGTCGACGTCACGAAAAAATCATGACGTCGGGGGTCTGGGATGCAAGGGCCTTGGGGGCCCATTTCGAGGCTTGGCGAGCGGGACGCGGCCAACGAAAGCGAGGAGGCAAGGATGCAAGGGCACCCTTGTGAAGGTCGCCCATCCTTACTATGCGGGTCGACTGTGCGGAGGGGATGGGGAGAACCAGGGGGAGGGGAACGAACGCACGAACGAGTCTTCCGTCGACCAGAGGCGACCCCAAAAAGGCGGCAGGCGCGCTAAACGCGCTGGTCACCAGGAAGACCAGCCTGCAGGACGCGTGTGCGAAACGACGAAAAAACAAAAGCGATTCAGCGCCACAGGCCCCGCGCGACGTATGCACTCGTCTTCAGAATTGGGGGACGCGAGGGATGGGATACAGTTATGCTGCAAACAAGATTTGCCAAAAGGCCGAGTCTGGAAACCCTTGATCCCAGACCCGCGACGCCATGATTTTTGGAAAGAGGGTGTTCGACCGCTGCTGGCGGAAAACCGGGGGGGGTCACTACCGGTTCGAACCGCTCCCCCCCCCCCTCCGGAAAGCCGGGGGGGGTCACTACCGGTTCGAACCCCTCCCCCCCCCCCCCAGTTCATCATGAAAAGGGGGGGGGTCACTACCGGTTCGAACCCCTCCCCCCCCCCCCTCGAAAACCGGGGGGTCATTACCGGTTCGACCCCCCCCCCCTCGAAAACCGAGTGGGGGTGCGGACAGTGGTGGGGACGGTGTTGGTGGGGACAGTGGTGAGGGGACAGCGGGACAGTGGTGGGGACGGCGGGGGGACAGTGGGACAGTGGTGGGGACGGTAGTGGTGGGGACAGTGGTGGGGACAATGGTGGGAACAGGGGGGGACAGTGGACAGTGGTGGTGACGGTGGTGGTGGGGGACAGTGGTGTGGGGACAATGGGAATGAGGTGGAAACAGTGGGACAGTGGAGGGTACAATGGTGGTGGGGACAGTGGTGAAGGCGGTG